GAGAACCTAAGACAGACACAGCTGCATACGGAGACCACATGAAAACGGGGTCAACAATGGTATGGCCAAGAATCATGCCTCCCATTGCTCAAAAATAAACAAAAAGGGGGAAATGTGGTGGAATGAGAAGGCCATGCCAAGATGGCCACTGGCAACAGAAACTGCCTAGCGACAGGCTGTGATTGGATGGTTTTGGAAACCACATGACAGTAGAGCCTGCCTGGCAAGAGGCTGTGATTGGATGGCTTCGGAAACTGCCTGGCAACAGGTTGTGATTGGTTAGGGCATAGACCATCCCTTGACCAGATTGGCTGCCTTGGCTATATAAGCTGCTGTAGCAACTGAAATAAATGAGTCTGCAGGCTGCTTGCCTCAGGCCTGCTTTCACCCGACTCCTGGGGTCTGTGTGGTGACTCTGAGCCTCTTGCCCCCACCATGCTCTTCCTCTAGGAATGAATCCATAGTAACAACTCAACACAATTCTGCCCAATGGCCCTGCCTTAACTGCTCTCAGAGCCTAGAATCCTTCCTGTCTGTAAGTCTACATGGCTCTCTCATTAACTTCATCTAGATCTCCTCTAAACTGTCTTTACTTTAAACACCCCAAACAAAGTTGCACAAACCTACTTTATCCCATCAATCTACATCCTAAAACAGCATTAAGTAGTTCTATTCTTAGCACTTACCACCATTTGACCAATATAAACTTGTTTATCTCCTGCCATTAGGATATAAACTCCATACAAATAGGAATATGTTTGTCTCTTCTATTCGCCACTTTATTCTCAGTGCTTCGAACAGTGCTTTCTACTGGCTAAGTACTCAAAATTAGTTGTTGCATAAGTGCTGCCTATTGCAATTGTCTCCTTTGTCTCAGGAGATTGAGCTAAAGCTAGAATTATTTAGAGTAGTTTAATAATAAGCTCATAACACTCAAATTTCTCCCTGGAATAATCTAGAATAAATGTGTAAAATAAATGGGAGCTATTGACCAGGATATTTTGTTGTGGATGATATTTCCAAGAAAACATAAAAAATGGCTTTCAAAACATAGTGTATTAGTTCAGAACAACAGATCCAATACACACATGGTGTCTGAAGAACTTCATTTTAAGGAATTTATTCATCTGATTATAGGGGCTTGGTGAGTCCAAAACCTGCAGTGCAGACTGGAAGGCTGGAGACTTAGAGAAGAATTAAAGGCAGGCTCCTGGCAGGATTCTTTTTTGCTCAGAGGTGGTCAGTCTTTGTTTTATTAAGGTCTTCAATTAATTAAATTGAAGCCTCCCACACACATATATGGAGAAATATCTAATTTACTCAAAGTTCATGAGTTTCAATGTTAATCCCATCCCAGGAATGTGCAGAATGATATTTGATCAAATGACAATTGACCCAGCAAAGCTGACACCAAAAATTAGCTATCAGGTGTAGATTATCTTAACCACATAAATTTTTGATTTGCTATCTTTGTCTCTTCATTCATCTCTAAACTCCCTGAGAAGGGTGGTCAACAAATATGTGAGGAATTTTCTGAAAATGAGGTCAAGGGAATACAATGAGTGGCAATGAGCATTATTCTTCCTGTTTAAAATTGCCCTTATGTTGGGGAAGCCCAGCCAGATCCTCAGTTTCCTTACTAAAGTAGTTCATATTCTATTTTTTAAAATATTTATTTATTTGAAAGTCAGAGTTACACAGAGAAGGAGAGGTAAAGAGAGAGAGAGAGAGAGAGGTCTTCCATCCGCTGGTTCACTCCCCAATTGGCTGAAATGGCTGGAGCTGTGCTGATCAAAAGCCAGGAGCCAGGAGTTTCCTCTGGGTCTTTCCATGCGGGTGCAGGGGCCCAAGGACTTGAGCCATCTTCCACTGCTTTCCCAGGCCATAGCAGAGAGCTGGATTGGAAATGGAGCAGCTGGAACTCGAACTGGCTTTTTCTGCTATGCTACAGTGCTGGCCCTGTTCATATTCTATTCTATTATATATATATATAATAATTAAACAAGTTGAGAGTTGAATATAGAAGGTCTACCAAGATCAACACTTTTACTGGAAGTAGCCTAATAGAATCTTGGGTTTTTCATTGACAATGGCCTATAAGAGCAATGTTAAAGATGGCTTTTAGGCTTGGATAAAGCGTGAAGCTCTAAGATTTAGAGAAGCCTCAAGCTGCATAAAAAGTCCACAAAGTATACTGTAGTCATTGCAAACCATGAGAGTTTAGCAACCTATGTTATCAGTATGAAACTACAGAGTTTTAGAGATCCCTGTAAAACATGTAGCTGCCCATAATTAGATTAAATACAGGATATCTACCTATATATGTATATATATGCACACCTGTGAGTATATGAGGGCAGTTCAAAAAGTTCATGGAATACTGGAATTAAAACCTATTGTTTGGGGGTGAGCATTGTGACATACTGGCTAAGCTGCCACTTGGGATGCCCACACCCATGTTGGGGCCCCAGTTCAAGCCTCACTACTCTGTTTTCAATTCAGCTAATCTCTCAATGTGCCTGGGAAGCAGCAAATAATGACCCAAGTTCTTGGGCCTCTGCTTGCTACATGGGACACCCAGATGGAGTTCTTGGCTCCTAGCTTCAGCCCGGCCTAACCCCAGTTGTTACAGCCGTTTGGGGACTGAACCAGTGGATGGAAGCTTGCCTGTGCTCACTCTCTCTCTCTCTCTCTCCTTCTCTGTGTTACTCTGCCTTTAAAATAAATATGTGGCTAAATACGATTTTAAGGTAAGTTTTTTTCTTGCAAAAATTCTTGAAATCCATGCATTATATTTTCATAATATACATTTTGCATGAACTACTTGAAGTACCATCTTATATGTGCATGTGTGTGTGTGTGTGTGTGTGTAGTGGGCATATAGGTGATATATGTATATATGTGTATGTATTTATATTATGGGTAGATGTACATGTAAATATGCATGTAATGGGCATGTGCCTTTGTTTTATTGAAAACAGGGCTCTTGATTAATAAGTTTTGATATTAGATAGTGTTTCATAGTTAATCCCTAAAGAGTGAAATGCCATGGGATAAGATGATGGTTTATAGTCATTTAGTGTACCAGCATAGATTTGGAAGCCAATAAACACCTGACAGTAAATGACTAAGTAAAAAATTTTAAAGACCTCATGTGCGTAAATCTAGTGTATGGGCTGTATTTTTCAGTAGCTGATAAAGTGTTTCAACAATGACTACCTATAATAACAAAAAAGTTGAATAACCTTTACATCACTCTATTTCATTGCAGTTTAAGTAAGAACTATTAAAATATGAAAAAGGGACATTGCAGATGGGGTTAAGATGAAAGACCTTGAGAAGGGGAGACCATTCTGGATTATGAAGGTGAATACAATCTATTCCTGAGTCCTTAAAAACAAACAACCAGGTTCAGCTGTAGAAAACAAGAGCCATGGCAGCATGAAAGGGACTCCAACTTCTGCACCAGCTTTGAAGATGGAGAAAGGGGGTCATGAGCCAGGGAGTTCAAGTGGGCTGTAGGGGATAGAAAAGGCAAGAAAGAGACCTGCCAAGACCTGTGTGACCCCTGTGTCAGATTCATAACCTACAGAAGTGTAGCATAATAAATTTGTGTTGCTTGAAGCTCAAGTTGTGGTTTTTTGTCATGGTAACTATGGAAAACCAGTAGAGGGTTTTTGATGTTTCTGTTTCAGGGTAAGAGAACATCTCAGTATATAAATACATATATTTATGTATAAAATATGTCCATAAATATATATAAATATATAGAGATATATGTAATATATCCATAATACATGTATATATAAGTATTTATACACATATATATTTTTGGATATATGATGATTGACATCAAAGTATTCATCAGACTCCAAGAATCAATGTTAGAGCATTGGATATATTCAACTGTAAGAGTTTAAATGAAGGGCTGGCACCATGGTGCAGCAGGTTAATCCTCCACCTGCGGCAACAGCATCCCATATGGGCACCAGTTCTAGTCCCGGCTGCTCCACTTCAAGTCTAGCTCTCTGCTATGGCCCAGGAAAGCAGTAGAAGATGGTTCAAGTCCTTGGGCCCCTGCACCCATGTGGGAGACCAGGAGGAAGCACCTGGCTCCTGGCTTCGGATCGGCGCAGCTCCAGCCATTGCGACCATTTGGGGAGTGAACCAACCAATAGAGGGAACACCTTTCTCTCTGTCTCTCCTTCTCACTGTCTATAACTCAAACTCTCAAATAAAATAAATAAAAAAAATCTTTAAAAAAAGTTTCAATGGTATACTGGTGTATCTGAAAATAGACAGATGTGTCACATATTGCTTTTTTAGTATCTCTGCTTCCTCACTAGAAAATATGTTGTTTTGGGTAACAGTATTAACAGGCTGGGGGTTGGGGGTCAGACAGACCTTGAACAATGGTCCCAGATCTGGTAGCCAACTCCTGGCCCTCTACAAATAGAATAACCAAAATGTTGCTTTGAAAACCACCAAATCAGTGTAGAGCAGCTGGTTTCCACACCAAAGTCATTGCTCTGGCTGTACAGAAAAACATGGGATTGCTGGCCCACCAGTATTCACTGTGGAGGTTATAAAATGCTGATGTTCCTCAAACAGCAGATAACTAAGTACTGCTTTATGTAGCCACATAACTCATTCAATTCACACTTCAAGTCTAAGTCCAAGCCACTTGTGCCCACAGAGTATCAGTAATTAGGATGGGAAGGACTTAGGGAAGACCGACATTACTCAGGCTTTCACTTTGACTCTCTACTTCATTCCTAGGCATGGATGCAACCCATGTGCCGTCAAGTGTGTTGTGAGGCAGTAACCACAAGAAGAACATTGCACTGCTTCAGCTACAATGATTCATCCCTCAGAAGAAAGCTCTTTCCCAGGCCATTCCGTCTGTTTTGCAAGTGGAAAGGCAAATGAGCATCTGCTGTTTTTTTTTTTTTTTTTTTTTTTTTTTTTTTAAGATTTATTCATTTTACTTGAAAGTCAGAGTTACACAGAGAGAGAAGAAGAAGCGGGGGGGGAGGGGGGTCTTCCATCTGCTGGTTCACTCTCCAATTGGCCACAACGGTCGGAGCTGTGCTGATCTGAAGCCAGGAACCTGGAGATTCTTCCAGGTCTCCCATGCGGGTACAGGGGCCCGAAGGCTTAGGCCATCTTACATTGCTTTCTCAGGACATAGCAGAGAGCTGGATAGGAAGTGGAGCAGCCGGGACTCAAACCGGCACCCATATGGGATACCAGCACTGCAGGCTGTGGATTTACCTGCTACACCACAGTGTCAGCCCCTGCATCTGCCTTTGTTTTAAATTCCATTGTTATTTTTGTGCCAACTTGATTTCTGAATTTGAAGTTTCAGGATTGCAGATGAAAAGAATTTTAGAGCTAGATAAGGAGGGGTTAAAATGCAAGAATGCCCCTTGCCAATCTTACATGCCGAATAGCTTATTAGACAAAAGTCACAGAAAGAAAAAGAAAAAGCCACTACTGCAAGAAAAGATCTCACAGAGCAGTCAAGATGTGCATCTTCACTGAAGACCAGGCCACAGAATTCAAGGAGGCCTTCCCGCTTTTTGACTGGACAGGTGATTGTAAGACCCTGTACAGCCAGTGTGGGGATGTGATAAGGGCTTTGGGCCAGAACCCCACCAATGCCAAGGTGCTCAAAGTCCTGGGGAACCCCAGGAGTGATGAGATGAATGTTAAGGTGCTGGACCTTGAGTACTTCCTGCCAATGCTGCAGATTGTGACCAAGAGCAAGGACCAGGGAATCTACAAGGATTATGTTGAAGGCCTTTGGATGTTTGACAAGGAAAGGAATGGCACTAGCATGGGTGCTGAAATCTATCATGTCCTTGTCACATGGGGTGAGAAGATGACAGAGGAAGAAGTAGAGATGCTAGTGGCAGGGCACAAAGGCAGCAGTGGTCATACCAACTATAAAGAGCTTATCCGTATGATGCCAAGTGGCTGAGGACATTCTCAGGATCCTCAGAGCCAGCGCCTTTCTGTGTGTGAGATTTTGTATCAGGTTCTCTGCTCACAGCATCTTTCTGAGCTCTTGGATGATGCCTGCTGTCAGCACAGAGTAAGTCAAATTGCTCTCTGTGCTACATGCCCCCCACCAAAAAAAAAAAAAAAAAAAAAAAAAGAGAGAGAGAGAGAGAGAATCAACTGCAATGGGATGGAGAATTCAACTTCATTGTGGTTGACACCTATTTATTTTTTATCTAGAAGCTGTTTCCCAAGGGAAAATAGAGAATAGATATATAGATAGGTAAACAATAAATAGCGGCCGGCGCCATGGCTCACTAGGCTAATCCTCCGCCTAGCAGCGCCGGCACACCGGGTTCTAGTCCCGGTCGGGGCGCTGGATTCTGTCCTGGTTGCCCCTCTTCCAGGCCAGCTCTCTGCTGTGGCCAGAGAGTGCAGTGGAGGATGGCCCAAGTGCTTGGGTCCTGCACCCGCATGGGAGACCAGGAGGAAGCACCTGGCTCCTGGCTTCATTGGCGCAGCATGCCGGCATCATGAGTTGCCTCCCAGGGTTTGCATTAGTGGTGTCGCTCCCCCTCTTCGTGGAGGAACGACACAGGACCCTGCGTTGTTCTTTTGTCTGCTCGGCCCTTCCCGGGTTTGCTGCTGGTTCTTCCCGGGTTGGCTACCGTCCCTTCCACCTCCGTGGAAGGGCGGTTCCCCCTAGCCACTTTCCCCACTTCCGCGGGGGAGCGGCACACCGCCGGCCGGCTCTCTCGGGGGCTGCACAGGTGTTCCTTCAGATAGATGTTCCCCTGGTGCATGTTGTCTCTCTCCTCCTTTATAGTCCTCTTCCACCAATCCCAACTCTGCTACCCACACGCCGAGTACGCTGCTCTCCTCCAATCAGGAGCAGGTCCTACAGTTTATTGGTTGAACTGGAGGCAGCTGTGTAGAAGCTGTTTCCTCCTCTCCCAGCGCCATATTGTGGGAGAGCAGATGCATAGAATAAGTCTTAATTCCAGTAACTTAGTCTAGTCCGAGTTGCTCCCAGTTGCTCCCCACAAGTGGGAAGTTGGAATCAGAAACAAAGCCAGGACTTGAACCTCAGTATTCCAACATGGGATTCTGGTAACCCGAGCAGCACCTTAACCACTGTGCAAAACACTTTCCCCTAACAACAGCTTTTGTCACCATCACTCAAAACATTTATGTAGGTCCATGCTGTTGATGATTTCCAACACTTTTGCCAAGTATCCTTTTTGATTCGAGAGTCAGTTTCTACCAAATGTGTAATACCTCAGAAAATACCATCTGCTTAGTGTTCCCACCATGTACCAAGGAGCATGCTTTTGATCGCATCAGAATATCCCAACAAAGCAGTTTAGAGAAGAGGAACTGTTCTTTGCCTCTCCTAACAGGAAATCTGGAAGGGATTCCAGGTCCCTGGAGGGGCTCATCCATCTTTCTCCTCACCGATCTTCTACACATGTGCTCTTCCAAGACTCTAGGCACAGCTTCCTCATACCACCAAGCCTATGACGAAAGGACACTCTTTCTTTATTTCTTTCTTTTTCTGACAGGCGAGAGAGAGAGACAGAGAGAAAGGTCTTTCTTCCGTTAGTTCACCCCCAAGATGGCCGTCACGGCTGGTGCACAGTGCCAATCCGAAGCCAGGAGCCAGATGCTTCCTCCTGGTCTCCCATGCAGGTGCAAGACCCAAGCACTTGGGCCATCCTCCACTGCCTTCCCAGGCCACAGCAGAGCTGGACTGGAAGGGGGCAACCGGAACAGAATCTGGCGCTCCGACCAGGACTAGAACCCTGTGTGCTGGCACTGCAGGCAGAGGATTAGCCTAGTGAGCCGTGGTGCCGGCCAGGAAACTATTTCTTAGATGGTCCCAGAAAACTATCTCCTTTTAAATCTTTGCCAACAAAAATGAGTCCCTAAACCAACCCCTGAGAAAGAAGCCGAGGTTGCCTCATTTGCTTTAAATTAATCTTGACTCATCTGCTGGGAAATGGGCACAATTTTCTTGAGCATTTCATCCTCAAGGGCCAAGCAACAGAATCAGAATTTTATTAAGCTGACAGAAGTGAATGTTTCTCATGTAGACAATCAACTATGCCACCTATAGCACAGGGAGGGCTTTCTTTGGTATGCATTAGAAAAACCTAGGGTGTTAGGTACAAGATTCCCAGTGTCAGAGATTGATTCCCAAGGAGTTCAGGAGTCATCTGCATGTTCACATGCTTCCAGATTACTCAGATCTATTTGATCCACCTAATAGTTTGAGACACCACTTTAGGAAAATACCTAAATCAGTCCTTTAACACATATGTGCGTGTGCATGCGTGTATACATGCACACACACAGTGCTGGTGTTGCGGTGCAATGAGTTAAGCACCCTCCTGCAATGCAAGCATCCCGTATGAACACTGGTTCACGTCTTGGTTGTTCCTCTTCTGATCCAGCTCCCTGCTAATATGCCTGGGAAGGCAGCAGAGGATGGCTTTTAAGTACTTGGGCCCCTGCCACCCATGTGGGAAACCTGGATGGAGCTCTGGGCTCTTGCCTTTTAACTGGACCAGCCCCAAATGTAGCAGCCATTTAGGCAACGAACCAGTAGATGAAAGATTGAAAGATTGATCTCTCCCTCCTCCCTTTTTTTTTTTGACAGGCAGAGTGGAGAGTGAGAGAGAGAGACAGAGAGAAAAGTCTTCCTTTTGCTGTTAGTTCACCTTCCAATGGCCGGTGCATTGTGCTGATCCGAAGCCAGGAGCCAGGTGCTTTTCCTGGTCTCCCATGCAGGTGCAGGGCCCAAGCACTTGGGCCATCCTCCACTGCACTCCCGGGCCACAGCAGAGAGCTGGCCTGGAAGAGGGGCAACTGGGACAGAATCCGGCGCCCCGACTGGGACTAGAACCCGGTGTGCCGGTGCCGCTAGGCGGAGGATTAGCCTAGTGAGCTGCGGCACCGGCCATCTCTCTCCCTTTCAAGTAAATACATTTTTTTTTAAAAAATATGCTAATTGATAAATATTTACTCATATTAACTGGATGTTACTGATTCACACGCATAAATCTACTGCTAGGACACAGTACTCTTTCTTTTTTTTGAGGTGCTAGATATATTTATTCTGATTGAACATTATATAATGTATGCATAAATCAAACGCACATGGCCATTTGTAAGTGTGTCCAATTTTTATATGTCTTTAAAAAATATTTTCCTAAAATAAAAATAAAATTGTCCATAAAAATACCATACACAAAATTGATGCTAAAATTCATATCAAAACACAATAGGCCTTTTAGCTAAATCAATCTTAAACAACAAAAACAAAGCCATAGGCATCACAATACCAGATTTCAAAACATACCACAGGGCAGCCATTCTTAAAACAACGTGGCCCTGGCACAAAAAAATAGACATGAAAACCAGTGGAACAGAGCAGAAACCTCAGAAACTCATCCACATGTATATAACCAGCTAATCTTGATTTAGTTTAATGTGCTAAAATCACTCTCTGGAGAAAGGACAGTCTCTCCAACAAACTGCTAGGAAAACTGAATATATGCATGCAGAAGTGTGAAAGACCCCACCCTAAACCTTTTACAGAAATCAATTCACAATGGGTCAAGGATCTGAATCTACAACATGATAGCATAAAATGACCAGAGGAAGTCATTGGGGAAACTGTAAGACATTGGCACAGGCAAAGACCTCCTGGGCAAGACCCTAGAAGCACAGGCAATAAAAAAAAAAAAAATAGACAAATGGGTCTACAGCAACCAGGAAGCCCCTGCACAGCAAAGGAAATACTCAACAAAGAAAAGAGGCAACCAACAGAACAGGGGAAAATACTGGCAAACTATGCATCTGACAAAGGATCAATATTGAGGATCCACAGAGAGCTCAAGAAACTCAACAACAACAAAACAATCCCGCCAAGAAATGCGCAAAGGACAAAATCGGCACCCTTCAAAGGATGAAATCCAGATGATCAACAGACATATAAAAAAATGCTCAGGATCACCAGCAATAAGGGAAATGCAAATAAGAACCACAATGAGGTTGAACCACAATGAGGTTCCACCTCACACCCACGATAGAATGGCTATCATCCAAAAATAAAAAAAAATAATAAATGCTGTCAAGAATGTGGGGAAAAAGGTACCCCAATCCACTGCTAGTGGGAATACAAACTAACACAACCACCATGGAAGACATTATAGAGGTTCCCCAGACATCTGAAAACAGATCTACCATATGACCCAGCCATGCCCCGGCCCCCAGCAATCCGTCCAAAGGAAATGAAATCAGCATACAAAAGAGCCGTCTGCATCCCCAACATCCACTAAAGCTCAACCCACAAAGGCCAAAACGTGGAATCAACCCAGATGTCCACTGACCAATGACCAAAGAAAACGTGATATACATACACAATGGAACACCACTCAGTGGCAAAAAAAAAAAAAAAAAAAAAAAAGCTTGTCATCTGCAACAAAACCGATGCAGCTAGAGCCCACCACCCCCAGTCCCAAAAGGCAAACACCACACACTTCCTCTGATATGTAGTAGTTAATATAGAATACCAAAATGGAATTGACATCTTATGATTTGATTACTGTTTATAATCCTGTCTATATTCCTGTGGAACAGTGGCCTTACTACTTTTTGCTCGTTAAACATTATGGTTAGTGGTGAATTAAGCATGAGTTTATAAAGCCAATTGAAGTTGTGTTATTGCAAAAATAAAAGGAAAAATAGAAAAAAAGAGGATGGAAGTTTGAAGGAGAGAGGGAAGTATAATCTTCTTTGAATTATGCTTATGAAATCCATTTTCTTTACATTAATAAAAATTAACAAAGACAAAAAGACAAAATAACAAAAAATACACTAAGAGAAAATAATTAATAAAAAAATAAAACCTTCTGCTCTGTGAAAGACAAAGTGAAAATAGTTCAAAGATAAGTCATAGAGTAAGAGAAAATACTTGTACAAGATATGTCTGGTAAAGGAATTATGTAAAACATATATGAAGAACATGTAAAACTCAACAAGAAAACAACCCAAATAGAAAGCAAGCAAATGCCTTAACCAAACACTTCAGTGAGATGTGCAGAAAGCAAATAATGACATGAAAAGATGACTCACGTTAAGTTGTCATTATGGAAATACAGTCAAAACAACAATGAGACATCACTACATGCCTATTGGAGGAGCCAAAAGCCCAAACACTGACAACACTATATGCTGACAGAATGCAGAGCAAAAGTCATTGTTGATGCGAATGCAAAATGGATTTTAGAAGGCAGCATTGGCAGTTTCTTAAAAAACTAAACATGATCTTAGCATATGACTCAGCAATTGCCTTCCTACATGTTTTTCCCACTGATTGGACAATTAAGTCCAAATAAAAAGTTGCACACTGGTGTTTATTGCAACTTTATTTTCATAATTACCAAACATAGGAAAAATCAGCAAATCAAAATATTTCCTTCAATTGTTGAGTGGATGGGCACATTTTGCTACCCTGAAATACTATTTTATGTTTTTAAAATAAGGAGCTATTAAACTATAAAAAGATGTGAATGGATCTTAAGTGCTTGTCACTAAATGAAAGAAGCCAATTTGAAAAGGTTACCTGCTAGATGAGTCTAACTGTATGCCATTATAGAAAAAGACAAAACTATATCAACAGTGAAAGATCAGTGGTTGCCAAGTTCAAGGGGTGGATTGAATAGGTGAAGAATAGGGGATCTTTTGGAGTGGTGAAACTTCTGTGTGATTCTGTAATTTTGTAT